GGCTGACATGCTTTGCAGTATCTGCCATAAATACACTCAGAAAGTTAAAGGGAACTGTGGCCTTAATGGGAAAATGGAGAGGGAACCCTGGCCAGGAAATGGAACATTTAAAAGGAAAATCTGAAACGTAAAAGCTTCTCTGGCCTTCGGGCCGCACTCCTTCTCCTCGGGGAGCCCACACAGCTGCCACAGATCCTGCCATTACAGACTCATCTCTATCTGAACATAAAAAGCTCTTTGCTATGTCTCTTCTGACTAGGGAGAAACCTTCCTAGAACACACAAGTAGACGACCTTGTGATCCCAGCGACTGCACTCAGCTACACTGAGGAAACCTGGCAGAAGGCAGCGGCTGCCCGCACAGCAGATCCCTGGTGGTCCATGGAAGGCGTGGCTGGAGGGCAGACAGGTGACTCAGCGGCAAACACAGCACCCAACTGTCCCAGGCTGGCTTCTCCCCCTGCCATTATTTTGACTCTGCTTTGATTTGTTAAAGTTGTCATAGTAATTGACCCTCAGTGTTGAGAATGATGCACTAAGCAGTACTTTAACAGCAGAAAACAGTCCTCAAGAGACAATTCCGGTTCACCTTTCAGAACTCAAGCATTCTATCACCCGCTGTTTTCCAGGCACACTAGCAGGAAGAGGATCAGGAGCAGCTACAACTCGAACCCGCACTCCGATATGGCATGTGGGCATCCCAAACTGCAGCCTAACAAGCCACAATGCAACATCTGCCAGGGAAACGAACTCAAGTTCTGCAGTTCAAATAAGTGTGTTAGGGGCTTTTGGGAGGGAAACAGTGGATGGCATCATCCACAAGAAGTATAGGAAGAGATGGCACAGTGTGGAGAAGCAGGAGCTGGACTCAGGGGCAGCAGTCTTTGTCTCCACCAGGGGACAGCAGGGCCTGGCAACTAGGTTAGTATACGGGGATGCTGGCTATCCTGCGTGGGCACTGTGGGAGAGAGGAGGGCCAAGGATGTGTATCTGGACACACAGGTCAGATCGTAACACACACACACACTCACACACCCTCACGTGTTTTATTTTAAACATGTTTAGGCTCATGGCAATCACACAAAAACATCAGCCTATGCCCGCTACTTTGAAAGATCTGCTCTCATACGAAGCACATGTCAGATAATCAGGGAGCTGACAGTGGGAGGAAGCCTACTGAGAGTGAGCCAGCTCACACAAAATCCAGAGGAGCTGATCTAATAAAAGGATCAAGTCTTAGTGGATGAGATGATGTGCAATCCTGAATATGGCAGACTTGCCATAATACTCCTCTCCAAAAGTTAGCCTCCTCTTTTATTTTTTTTTTTTTATTGGAAAGCCAGATATACAGAGAGAAGGAGAGACAGAAAGGAAGATCTTCCGTCCAATGGTTCACTCCCCTACTGACCCCAACGGCTGGAGCTGAGCCAAGCCGAAACCAGGAACTCTTCCAGGTCTCCCATGTGGGTGCAGGGTCCGTCCCAAGGCTTTGGGCCGTCCTCAATTGCTTTCCCGGGCCACAGGCAGGGAGCTGGAAAGGAAGCAGGGCTACCAGGATTAGAACTGGTGCCCACATGGGTTCCTGGTATGTGCAAGGCAAGGACTTTAGCTGCTAGGCTACTGCACCGGGTCCAATGATAGACACGTTCAAGGCGAGGACTTTAACCACTACGCTATTGTGCTGGGTCCAGTTAGCCCCTTTTGACTCCTCTTCCTCTATATTTTGCAGCAACTTTCCACCAAGCCCCAAATAAAAGGACTTGACTTCTAACTCATGCCCATAAATACATTTTTTATCAGTTCAGTTCTGGTTGTTCTGCACCAGGGGCTGAGGGGGGATTGACTGGAACATGATACCAAGACCATTTAGGGTTTAGTCTAGAAAGGTTAAGGAGGGTGAAGAGCAGATTTCTCAGGAAAGCAATAAAATCCCAAAGTACCAGCCTCAAGTGAAAAAAGGAAACTCTGACCCACTTGAGTCCAGTGTGGTGGGGCATGCTGCCTGTGACCTCAACACCCCAGGAGTGTCACCGTGTCCAGGAGCCTCTTCCGGGTCTCCCACGTGGGTGCAGGGTCCAAGGCTTTGGGCTGTCCTCAACTGCTTTTCCAAGCCACAAGCAGGGAGCTGGATGGGAAGCAGGGCTGCTGGGATTAGAGCTGGTGCCCATATGGGTTCCTGGTATGTGCAAGGCAAGGACTTTAGCTGCTAGGCTACTGCACCGGGTCCAATGATAGACTCTTAATTTATAATTACCAAAAGTTTTAGAGATCTTTTAGCCACAAATCACTAGTTCACAAAAAAAAAAATCTGAAATTTTGTAATCATTCACTTTTTTTATCTTTTTATTATTTAAAATTGTTTTTAATTCTTTGAGATGCAGAAAGGCAGAGAGCAAGAGAAAAAGCTCACATGCAGTGGTTTACTTCTCACAGGCCCACAACAGACAGGGCTAGCTGGGCCAAAGCCATGGGCAAGAAATGCAACCCAAGTCTCCCATGAGAGTGGCAGTTCAGCGACCTGAGCCATCACTACCTCCTGGGGTCTGCACTAGCAGGAAGCTACAAGCAGGAGCAGCACTGGGCGATGAAACCAGGCAACCTGATCGAGGAGACACGCGGGGTGCCTTAATCACTATAATAAACACCTACCACTGTGTGTTATTAAAGTGAAGGAAGCTACTGTTATCTTAAAAACTTTCAAAGTCCTTTGAGCTACCATCCCTAACATCAATGCAATCTGTACAACCACCGTAATCTGTCTTAAGGGAAGTGACGCCTGGGGCTGGTGTGCTGCTGCAACTGGGAAGGGAAGTTCCTGGCTTCAGACTGGCCCACTCCTGGCTGCGACTCCAACTGGAGGGTGTGAACCAGTAGATAAAAGATCCTTTTTTTTTTAATGCCTTTCCCCTTTCTCTGTAACTCTGCCTTTCCTTTTTCTTTTTAAATATTTATTTATTTTTACTGGAAAGTCAGAAATACAGAGAGAAGGAGAGACAGAAAGATCTTCTCGTCCACTGGCTCACTACGTAGGTGGCCGCAACAGCCGGAGCTGAACTGACCAAAGCCAGGAGCCAGGAGCCAGGAGCTTCTTCAGGGTCTCCACACAGCAGCAGAGTCCCAAGGCTTTGGGCTGTCCTCAACTGCTTTCCCAGGCCACAAGCAGGGAACTGGATAGGAAGTGGAGCTGCTGGGACATGAACCAGTACCTGTGTGGGATCCTGGCTCACACAAGTCAGGGACTTGAGTCACCAAGCTACCACACTGGGCCCTAACTCAGCCTGTTCTTTGAAAAACAAGTGCATCTTTAAATTTTTTTTTAAAAAGTGAAAGAAAAGAAAGTAAATCTTGGGTGAGGCATGATGGCTCAATGGCTGAATCTTCACCTTGCACGTGTCAGGAACACAGATGCCGGTTTGTGTTCTGGTTGCTCCTCTTCCTATCCCGCTGCCCTGCTTATGCCAGAAAACAGCCCAAAGCCTTGGCACTCTGCACCCACGTCAGAGATCTAGAGGAAGCTCCCAGCCTCAGATCAGCTCAGCTCTGGCTGTTGATGCTATCTAAGGAGTGAACCTGTGGATGGAAGATCTTCTCCCTGTCTCTTTTTCTCTATGTAAATGTAATCTGCTTTCCAATAAAAATAAATAAATCTTTAAAAAAGTGAAAGGAGCAAAGAAATTCCTACATTGCTAAAAATCAGCAAGGAAACAGATCCACTCCACATAGAGCTACCTCTCTTTACTGTGACTGGTTTGGGTGTGATTCTAGGAAAACAGAAACAGCCTTGTTATACAGAATCATGTATTTCAAGTAATCTCAATTTCAGTTGAGTTTCTCCTACAGAATTATGAAAATCTGATTATTTCAACACCTAGTTTCAATATTTGATCTTTGCCATTGTGTAATTAAAAAGGAGAAGAAGAACGCTTCTGATCCCAAAACAACTGTATTAGGAAACTACATAATCCCTGGATTATGAGAGAAGTATGTCCTCCACTTTCACTAGCCAGTAGCTAATCCAACAAGATAACTACCACTTGTACAAGACACTTGCTTCCAGGAAAGCACGTGAGATTGGAGTCCAAGCTGACCTTTACACACCGCAGGGACTTCACTTCGGTCAGAAAGTAACAACAACATTTTTTCCTCTTTATTCAAAAACTGATTATTAACAAGAAAACACACGTAACAGAATAACAGCACAAACTGAATATCACTCTCCTCCTTGCAGTTCCACCGCTGGGATAAGACACTCGTTTTAGAATACTCTGAATCAGCAGATTCTCACCCTTCCTTTCCATCCAGAGTTGTTTCCAAAAGGGAACACACTGCCCGGCAGTCTACATTATTCCTAATTTTCACGTATAAAAATGAGACAGATGAAGTGATATACAAAAACATTAGGAACTATATATTTTTTTAAACACAGTAACACAGATTTTCTTATTTTAATCATTCTCTCTATATTACCACAGTAAAATACATAACAAATTCCAAGAGATTACTTTTATGCAATAATAACCTTATGACTTCACATTAATTGGTATACTGATAATAAATTGACCATTAAAGTAAGTGGAACAAAGTTCAGTGGTAAAAAGTGATTCATTTCTATTTATGCAGTATGGAAAGTCACCATAGCATTTAAACACATAAAACATTCAGAGTAATAAATAATCATTCATAACTGAAATATAGCACTATCTAGAAGTACCTTCTGAATGACCAAAACATAAAATTGTACTCAGTATAACATCAGGGAAATTTCTCACAGAGAACCATAGATTTTTGTAAAGTGGAAATCCATTAAGTGTCTGGATTGCTCAATATAAAGAACTCTATGCTGTTTGTTATAAACAACTAATGTTTGGAATTCAGCAAAATCCTTTTAAGAAAATCTAATCTAGAGAATGGAGTTTAAATTATTTGGTCCTAGTCAAAAAAATCAAAGTAAATTCCTTGGTGAGATTTTTAATTGCTCTGAATATTATCTTTAAAGAGCCCGACTTCATTTATGTCACAATGAATCCGGCATAAGCTCCCACTGCCAGTCTGGGTTTGCCGTGCGTTTGGTTCAGTGACTTTCCTGTGAGTTTCCCACAGTGCCAGCTTCAGCATTTCCCAGTTTCCTGTCCTGTACTAGGCTGCTGTGACACTGTCAGGCTAGTAATGGCATGTCGTGTTTCTGAGCATAACCTGCCAAAAAGTGATAATTTCCTTAGAAGAAAAGCCATGGGCTGCAATCACACGTCTGAGCTGACAGACATCCAAGTGGATTCGATACAAAAAGAAAAGGTTTACATCCTCCGGAAAATGAATGTCCACCTTTAACAAATTCAAACAGATCCCAACATACACATCTTCAAACTTGATGGGTTTTACATGACCCATCATGTCATAGATTCTTGGTACCAAATCTCTGGACATTATATAGCCCAAGCCACTGCAGTAGGGTGGAAACACTTTAAAAGGATACTCTTGGTATGAAATATGAGTCTTTTGGTAAAATCCTCTATAGGAATAGTTCTCAATTAAAGGATAACCTGTAAAAAATTCCTCTGGGTTGTTTAAGCTTAGAAGATACTTCACTAAATTGCCAGTATTGATGAAAACATCAGTATCTGTCTTCATGACGTACTTGGCATTGGGGCAAAACTCAGTGACCCATCTGAATGCCATAATGGTTTTCAAGGTCAGGTTATTGTAAGTGTCTAAAAAATCTTGTCTTATTATGTCACCATAAAGAAGGTGTTCATCCTCTAAGGACAATGCTAACGTTTTGTCTTCCCTTTCAGCCTGGTGACCCAATAAGAAAAATGTAAGAACCTCATAGCCCCACCAGGACTTTTTTTCACCCCAAGTAACTCTAATGGCCTGCCTGGCTTTCACATCTGAGGGATGAGAAGTCACCAGGATGACCAGAAATGGGTTTTGATGAGAGCAGTTTGAATGCTCTCGGAGAGTGAAGCGGAAGTTTTGTCTGTAAATCGGCTCATACTCATAGAAATACATCAAGTTTACACGTTCGATCACATTGTAGTGGGGCAGGCTGAGGTACCACATCACCAGGAAACTCAAGAGTGACAGCAGCAGCAGGCTCCATTGGAGAGATCTCAGTGACATCCTACTCGGAAGGGTGGTCAGGAGAGCCAGGGCCATCCACAGCAGCTCGGGAACGCACGCACGTAGACTCTGCAGGACCGACACGATATCAAGTCCATGCTCTAGCAACTCAAACACATTTTTTCAAATAACACCTCATTTATCTACGTGAGGACAAAGAACAACAACAACAACAAAAAGCTCCAAAGCAAAACCAGACTATCAAAACTATATTTTAGCATCTCACATCAACACTAAGGTTGAAACATGTCTTAGATCAGGAAAAACAATTCTTGTTCTAAACAATTTCCTACAAGACAAGATTTTGTCCTAATGCCAGAATGAAGAGATATGTAATTGTAAGCTACAATATAAATCTACCACAAAAACATACAAAAGCATGTGTTTTATTTACCATGTGAAAAGCATGTAAGGGAAACTGGGCTAGCGTAATGCTGCAGCAGGACAGGCCATGGCCCGTGACTCAGGTGTCCCATATGAGCCCCAGTTTGAGTCTCAGCTGCTCCACTTCCAACCCAACAGCTCCCTGTTCATGTGCTTGGTAAGGCAGTAGGAGATGGACAAGGAGATCTGCATAGAACTCCCAGCTCATGGCTTCATCCTGCCCCTGGCCAGGTTATAGTGGCCATTTGGGGAGTAAACTTGTGGATGGATGATATTTCTTTTTCTGTAATTCTGTCTTTCAAATAAACAAATAAATAAATCTTAAAAAAAAAAAAAAAGAAGAAAAAGAGTGAGCATTGTGGCACAATGGGCAAAGCTGCCACCAATAACACTGGCATTTCACATAGCAGGAACGAACCTGCTCCCCGCTAATGGCTTAAGAAAACAGCAAAGGACAGCCCAAGAACTTTGGCCCTTAAGTGTCCCATAAGGGGGATCCAGAGGCAGTTCCTTGCTTCAGCCTAGTTCTTCCCTGGCCGTTGTGGCCACCTGGTAAGTGAACCAACAGATGAAAGTAATCTCTCTATTTGTGTAATTATGACTTTCAAATAAGCGTGCTTACTTCGGCGGCACATAGACTTTCAAATAAGCAAAGAAATCTTCTTTCTTCAAAAAAAAAGGGATTTAATAAAAAAAAAGGCATTACTAATAACAGGTTCAGACAACCCAGGAGTCTTTTTAGCTCTATGATACAGATTCTAGAAAATCTGGAGTAAAAAAATCTCTGTAACTATAATTACTCACAGTGGCTGGTGACATTGGGCAAGATGAAAGAGAGTGAGTCCTCTGGAGACAAACAGCACAACCATCTCTTGAGACCATGAAATGGCTTTTACTTGCCCCAAACATCCCAAGCTCCAATTTTGCCCCACCGACTTAATCAAAGCTCAGTATGTAGAGCAAGCACTTAAAATTCTCTAACGCTGAGCTTTGTTCCTATTCCAGTCTATTTGGTAAACACATGTCAACCCCCCATCACAGACACAGTCTCCTGGGACACTTGCTTTTGCATTAAACCTCCGGCCGAGACAAGGCATTGGAGCTGTGCAACACAGAGCACTCAGAGCACGACAGGGAAGTGTTGGCTGCACTCCAGGGTCCAAGGTGGAGACTTACAATTCAGAAGTCCGGAGCTTCCCTGGCACAATGAGCACTGCACTCAATATAGATATTCAGGCATTAGTGATGCCTGGGCATCTTCTACAAGCACAGGGCTACTAAGAAAGAAGAGGAAAGGACCAAAACCAAACCCCAAGGCACTGTGTAAATGTGGCAAAGGGACATCAGAATCCAATTGCTGGCTTCTGGCTTCAGCACGGCCAACTCCATCTGCTGTAAGCATTTGCAGGGAACCACTACAGAAGGTTTCTCCTCTGACCAACTGCTTGCACACATGTAACTTTAATGCAAAAGCATTTGTTTGAAAGGCAAAGTTACACAGAGAGTTAGAAAGATCTTCCATTGCTGGTTTTACTCCCCAAATGGCCATAATGGCTCGGGCTGGGTCAGTCCAAAGCTAGGAGCTTCTTCCAGTTTCTCATGTAGATGCAGGGGCCCAAGAATCTGGGGCCTCCTCTGCTGCCTTCCCAGGACATTAGTGTGGAACTGGATCCACAGGGGAGCCACTGGGATTTGAACTGGTGCCCACATGGGATGCCAGTGCCACAGGTGGAGGCTAAGTCTGCTTTGCTACAGTGCCAGCCTTGATTTCTATATTTTAAATCACACAACACAATGTGACGTTTTAGCAAATACTCTGCACTCCAGTTCCATATGTATATATGTTTTGCTTCTCCACTTATATTCTATGCCTTTATTGGCAAATACAATTTACTGTTAGACAGAAGGAGGGCACAAAAACAGTGATATTGACACTGCACTTTGACAGGGTTTTTTTAAATTACCTGCTGCCTTCCAGGATGAGCTGAGCTAACAGGAAAGTGGGCCATACGTGATCACAGGTATGGGTGTACCAAGCAACAACTTGGCCACTGAGCCACACATATGACCTTCTAAATTGATTTTTATTTTCAAAAGGGATAATCTTAAGTCCTGATGATTCCTTACTACTTGAGGAAAGGCACATTTCAAATATATATTTATCTATTTCTTACCCTCTTGATTTATTTCTTCTGAAAGACTTTCGATTTCACCAACTGAACATTCAGCAGTAATAATGCTTTGAATGTCTGTAAGACATATAAGAAACACACATAGAAAATAGTAAGACATAGAAAACATAATATTTGCTCAATTATAGTGTGAAAATAATATTCCAAAGAGGAAGGGAAAAAGACTCTTCATTCCTGATTCATTTCTGAACTAAGGATATACATTACAATAAATATTAAATATTTATGCCTTGTCTGCAAAGGACATTGATATTCAAAATCAGTATGGGCAAAAACTCAAAACACGCATCTTATGTTCTTTATTCTTCTGATATCTTAGGTCATTCAACCACCATTCCATATTTCTTGATAAAGAACTCATGGGCACTCAAGAATTGCAGTACGGGGAGCAAGACGGCGGTACAGGGTGAGACAGGTTTAAACGCACAGAGAATCGCCAGAGTGCAGCAGAGAGGGCAGATTCCAGGAGATGGGAGAGAACAGGCTGATGGCAGCGGGGCACTTGGAGGCTCATGGACACAGGAAGCGGTGCAGATCACGGAGCAGTGTTGCAGTGATCAGATAAGCCACCAGGGGGCAGCATGAGGTGACCATGGCTTCATCAGCAGCCAAAGCTCCACCAGTGGCCAGGAGGGAAGGGGAAGGTCACCAGGAGCTCAAGAGTGAACCCAGACAAGAACTGCCCATGCTGCTGATTTATTGGATCTGACCTCAAGTAAGAGACAGAGTGGCAGACCTCAACTAGGCAGTGCAGGAATAGGGTGGGTCTGATGGCCCAGACCCCCACCACTGCCACACTGGACACTATTCTGTATACTGTGGCAAAGGCTATGGGACTGGAGGGACAACAGTGAGCCATGCATGCACTGAGCCGAAAGCATAATTACTTACAGCTCAGCACATTGCACTGGTCCCATGGAGAAAACAGTGCCGTCTTGGTATCCTACAGGTTTCACTCAAATAGGTTAGGCGGCCCCCAGACCTAGCAGCCAGCAGTTCCAGAACCCCACCAATGCCATGCCGGGCACCATTTTGTATACTGGGGCAAAGGCTGTGGGACTGGAGGAACAACAGAGAGCTGCGCATATAATAAGCCGGGAGCAAAATCACAGCTCAGCACAAAAGTGCACTAGTGCCACAGAGAAAACAGTAATGACTTAATAGCAAAACAGGCTTTTCAATCAAAACAGGTTCAGGTGGTTCTCAGATCTAATGGACTGGTGTCTCGCTGTTTCTGGAAACTGCTCAAACTAGGAGTGGGAGAAAGCCTGTAGAGGCAATGGTGTGGCCACAGCACAGGATCACGGGGGGTGGGGGGGAGAGTGGTGAGCCAGGAGCTAGGGCTATGGAGGCCATGGTAGAAGCCCAGCACAAAAGGCCAGGACTGAGACAAACTGGAGGGAGTGGTACAAGAGACAGAGGCACAATGAATACTAATGATGCTTCCCTCGCAAAACAGCAAAAGCCTCTGCCAACCTGAGTTAACTGAGGGAATACATGTATACACACCAAATACCAGGTCACCTAACTATGTGAAACAAATATTAATGGATTTAACGGGAGAAATATACTCCAATACAATAATACTGTGGGACCTTAACACTCCATTAACATCAACAGACAGATCAACAGGACAGAAACTCAGCAAGGAAACAACAGAACTCACCCAGTCACTAGGGCAAATGGACTTAACTGATATCCACTAAATCTTTCAGCTCACAGACAGATAATAAGACTTTTTTTTTCATTATTATATGGAACTTTCTTCAACACTGACCATATTAGGGACCATAATACAAGTATCAGCAAATTAAAAAAAAACAAAATTATATCATGCATCATCTCAGACTATCACAGAGTAAAGCTGGAGACCAACATCTCATATTAAAACAACATCTGGAAAACTGAGATAACTGCAAAGTTTCAACTGATTTCCACTTCAGGAAAGCATGAATTTCAGATAGAACATAATTTTTGCAATGTGTCATTCACGATACCAACCATGCAATAAAAAAGTAATATATGATGAGAAAAAAAAAGAAAAACTGACTACACAATCCTAAAAGAACAAACACCATATGTTCTCTCTGATATAAGGCAGCCTTCATGCAGAACACAAGATCAATAGCCCTTTCAATAGTGGGAGCTTTACTGCAGCAGAAAATGCTGTCCTCTTCCCACGACCCCCTTCACTCACAGGCAGCATCTAAGAACAACACCCGCAAGTGAGACCACCTCACAACAATCACACAGTGTCCAGCCCCATAGTCCTTTATAGAGAGTCAAGAATCCCTTGATGAAAACCCAAAATAAAGGTATTACAAAGAAGACAAATAGCTAGTCATGTAGATACATGCCTCTTTAAAAATATCAACAACATGCTTGGAACTAGAAAACACATGGGGGTGTGGAAAGAATCTGTTCCAAAGCCAAGACTCCAGAGAAACAAAAAAAGGGATTCTATAATGGTACAATTATTGGAGCAAAAATGATATAAAATTCTTTCCCAGGGTAAAAAATGCTGGCTATTTTTTATGAAAGGAAATCAAATATAATCCTTTAAATACACATACAAAAATTTTATAATTGAAAATGTATGTTCATTAGAAAAAAAATTCAGTGAATACAAGAAAACCTAAGAGACAATCAAAGTTTAACTCTTTGGTGCAAACTGGTCAAGCCTCTGTACACCTGCCCCTGTTCCAGCTGCTCTCAGGACCCCATCCCACACCCACTGCAGCCAAGCTGGCTGACCTTCCAATCCCTGAGTCTGTGAGGCTGTTCTGCGAACCCCTCTAACTAGAAGCCAGATTCTTGGAAAGCCTGGCTTCCTCTCACGCTTTACCGACAGCAAAGCGTCCCACACAGCACTTCCCTGACCCTTCGAGCAAGTAGTCCTCACGTCTGGTTTTCTACTATACTCCTCATTATTCTCTTCTCAGCAACTGACCCTATCTGGAGTTTCTTTTAAAAATATGCCTGTTTGCTGTCTCCGTCACGAAAGGCAGGGCTGGAGAGGGCCTCTCTCGTTCATGACCAACACCCCCATATGCAGCACTTGGCAGGTTTCCCCATGGTATATTATTACTGTGCCAATGGACCTATATTCACTTAATGGTCCCAAAAATAAACTGAATCCAAACACAAACTCCTGAGTTTGTTAGATTTTGTTGCTTTTTAAAATCAGCTTTCCTACTGTAATAAGCTACACTGCTTCCAATCATGGGCACTATAAAAGTGCCAGAAAGGAAAACACAAATTTAAAATTTAATTTTAAGTCTAAGTATGCTATACTCAGGTCAGCCAAAGGGGGAAAGATACTGTTAATTACCAAAGAGGAAAAAAAAAAGTGTTGTTAATTACCAAAAAAGAAAAAAGTACTGTTAAAAGAAAAAAAAAAAAACACTCCAAAGCAGGTGAAATTCTAATTGCCTAGAAAATGTCCTGTGCATATAATAAGTTGATTACAACTCACAATTATAGATGTCAATCAAGTCCTATATCCAATCCCTTATAAAGCGGGGAACCCTACATCTTTAAGGGAAATTTCCCTAGTAGTACCTTCGCAAACTAGAGCACATTAATTCACAAACAAATCTACGTAAAAATGCAGTATTCAATTAGATTCATTAAGTACCTAATTATTTTCACAATGCACCACTGCCCGAGGTTTGATATCAGAATGAGCACAACCAGGGACATCTGACCATTGCTTGCCTTTGTTCTCCTCTTTAATTCACTTTGCTGTATATTACGATACGGAGAATGTGAAAGCCACTGGTTTTATGTCAGATCAATTAAGGCAGTCTTTGCAGGTTCTGAAATGACTGAGTGTGCTGCCCCAGACCAAAAGCGTAGTGCCTGAGCACTTTTGGAACAGGCAAATCGATCAGAAATGATGATTTTAGCTAAAGCCCAAGGAGATTTGTGGGCAAATCCAAGTTGCATATCCACTTGGGCATGAACATTTTTGACTTTTAGTTTCTTTAGTAAAATGGGAATAATACTACCTTCATATACTGAGGGCCACACGAAATAATTGGTACCAAACATTTAAGAGCAGGCTGGTATGCAGAAGGAACCAAGCAGATGATATTGCAGTTATTATTCAAGATCACACTACACACTTCCTCTAACTTGTTCTGGTTTGCTTACACCCATTCTTCATGCAAACTCTGCTACTAGTTCCCAAATGTGTCTTCCATGTAACTACGGACTTCACAATGCAGCTGAAAATGAAATCCTAGCGAGTCCACTTTCTCCCTGTCACTAAGGAAGCCTTCCTTGGTCTCCATTTCCGGCGCCTGCAGGTGCGAGCTGCCAGCACTTCTGATAACATCGCCTGTGTGCCTAAGGCAGACAATTCCTCTTCCCATCTGAAGAAGGCTTGAAAGTAAAATAAAAAAATCTTCCATGTCCTTGTTTGTGTCATAAATTTAAAAGCCTAGAGCTGCAAGTGCTTTTCTCCTTGTGGCTTTGACTTCCTTACAAGGAAAACCTATTTATTTTATTCTATTGGCAATATGAAACAAGGATGGATGTGGGTTCCCCCAGGTTCCTAGCCAACCAATTCCTGGGAAAGCAGCCACTGTGTCCAGTCACATAAGCACTTCTGGATGAATGCTACCTTGGTTCAGAATAATTTTTAGGGGAACTGTGGAAGGAGAGATTTGGAATCTCACTTGGGGAAAAGAAACCTTGGCCAGATGCCCTAATTGGAACACTGAAGCAGCTGTTCCAAGACTCCCAACCTTTACTACTCCAGGTACTGATGTCTTTCCCTTGATGGCTGGTGTTCAAATCTTAACTGTTTTTCTTTCTCTTTAATTGCAAACAACTTTCTGTTTATTGTGTGTTGAGAGTGCTTTGTGGTGCATGGATTTGGTCCTGCTAAATTCTGAGGCCATATCTTAAATCAGCTTTTTAATGCTACATTGTCCCATAGCCTTCTTACAGCTGAACTTCATTGTCTTTAGACATAAGCTACACTCACAGAAGTCTGGGCTGGGAGGAGTCCAGGCTGGGCAAGGTTACAGCACTTGCCAACACA